GGTTTTCATCGTGTCTTCTGACTGCTAGTTGGTGTTCATGGATGCGCTTTGCTAGCCTTCTGTCTGTCTGTCTTACATAGTGGTTGTTACAGTCCTTACACAGTATGTTGTAGATGACTCCTGTTTTTCTCTTCTTGGACTACTGGGTCTTTTGGTTTGCTTAAGATGTTTTGGAGGGCTTTAGTTGGTTTGTGTGCTACAGAGATGCCATGTGGTTCTGTTTTTCTCTTCTTGGACTACTGGGTCTTTTGGTTTGCTTAAGATGTTTTGGAGGGCTTTAGTTGGTTTGTGTGCTACAGAGATGCCATGTGGTTGTAGTAGTCTATTAGTCTAAAAAACAGGAGTCATCACCCAGATAAGCAGAGATTAACACCAAGATTAACACCAGACAACCAAGCAGTAAACAATACCCTAATCAAGGAACTACCAACAAAACAAAAACAAAAACCCACACCCCCACTAACACTGGCAGGGCAGGTTACTGTATTATCAACAGAAAGCAAACCCCACTCGATTGTCGCACTGAAGATGTTACCTAGCTGGGTAATGAAATGTTTGCAAGAAAACAACCAAGCTCAAAGAACCCCAAGCACTCCACATTAAAGCCTTTTCCAGACAGCTGGATCTTTGCATAATGTGTCCAAAGCAGGATATTTTTGCCCTGGTCATTTGTGTCTTGAGTGAGAACTCTGGGTTGATTTGTTCAATGATCCATCACTTTGTCTTCTTCGACGTCTATGGTATTCTCCAAAGCCAAAGTTCAAAACTGTCAATATTCTTCCTATCCTGCTTCTTTAAAGTCCAGCTTTCGCTTGCATAGTGTGTCACAAGGAATACCATGGCTTGCATGATTCTGATCTTCATAGGTATAGACACATCAAGGCATTTGAATATCTTTTCCAAGGCCTTCATGGCTGCTCTACCAAGTACTAGTCTGCAGCATATTTCTTGACTGCTTGTTCCTTTACTGTTGGTGGTTGACAGGCAGAAGCTGTCCATCACTTCAATATCTTCATTGTCAATTCTAAATCCGGTTGTTCTACCTGTTGTCATTAGTTTGGTCTTCGTTATATTTAATTTTAGTTCCATTCTTTCATTGTGCTCTGATATCACTTGCTGAAGATGAATTGTGTGTGTGTGTGCGTGTGCACACACACACGCACACACATACATACAGTTCATCTTAAGCAAGTGATATTAAATGAAATTTCTTTCTTAGCAAATATATTTGCTTGGTCCATTAATTTCTATGTCAAGCATAAGCTTTTTTGGAGAAGGATCCTGAGAATACCATGGACAGCCAAAAAACCCAAACAAATGGGTCATCGAACAAATCAACCCACTCGAGGCACAAATGACCAGGCTCAAATTATCCTACTTCAGAGACTTAATGAGAAGCTCTCATTCTCTGGAGAAAGCTCTAATGCTGGGAAAGCTGGAAGGAAAGAGAAAAGAGGATGACCAGCAGCATGATGGATGGACTCAGTTACAGTAGCGATGAGTGCACCGATGGAAGACCTGAAAGATCAGCTTAGGGACAGATCATCATGGAGAAAAATCAATGTGGTCATTAAGAGTCAATACCAACTTGATGGCATGTAATCAATCTATCAAACATGAGCTTATACTATTCCTGGACAAATATCCCATCTGAAATGAAACTAAAGTAATTTAGAAGCGCACTCATAATGGAATTCCAATTATATAAATAATAAACCTGTTGATTTGAACTAAAATTCCTGTACATCTACAGTCATACTCTGACTCAGTAAGAACACATTATAAATACAAATATTCTGTGGAAAGAATAGAATTACACAATAATTAAATAATAGGTTTAAACTGGCATAGCTAATTTTTTTGTTATGATAAAAGGCAATTGTGTGATTACTGGATAATTACATTGTTTCTGTTCATTCAGATGTCAAAGTATGATGTTAGTTTAAATATAAAAGATTGTTATATACCCTTGATTGGTTTCTGTATTAACCATGCAGCAACGTTTTCAATGATCTATGATATATATAAGTACAGAGGAAATTTTCCTGTATTTTCAACATTAGTAGATCGACAACATTACATATGATCTTACAAATTATATAGCAGTTCCCATTTTTATATTTTCTAAAGGACCAAACTAGATATAAATCCATTTTAATATACAAATTTGTCCTAATTGTGCTTTATTTCATATGAGAATACTTCTCTTGTCCCCAGTTTATCTTCATACTTTCCTGCATTTCAAAGTATTGTTTTCCTCAGTTTCAAAATGCTCAATTGCACATCACTTTTTGCTGTTGAAAAAAAAGCCTATCTAATTTGTCCTTAAAGCTTCCAATTTTGTCTTTGTTTCATATGATCATCTTTCAATAATTACTGGTCCTGATGTGAATCAGTAACAGTCTTTATACTGCATTGTAAGGTTGTGTGATACTTCTCATCCATCTGTACAAATAAGATTTTTAAAATTTTTACTCCTTTTGATTAAATTGCAGATTCTATTCAATTGTTTTTTTTAAAAAACTATATATCTTTTTTTCATAGTAATTTTTGTTCAAAGAGTTAAAAGCATTGTCAATAGCTACTGTTCTCCCAGCATTTCCTTCAGTAGAAAAAAAATTGTTATGTTGTATTTAGAGCTTGCTACTTTTCTGAGTTCTGGATCTGGTTCTTATCACCATAACCGGGATTTATGGAATTGTCTTCTGTACTGAAACGGAGCAACAGTTGCTGGGCCCAGCAGTCTAGATTGTTTCATGAACTGGGTTCACAAAAACTAGAGTCGGCCCTGGAAAATAAGCTTAAGAGGCTGAGAGACTCTGACTAGGCTTCATGTAGGTTTTTTGAACTACCATGTTTGTCACATTGCTGCCTGTCTGACTTGAAGTCAGACACTTGTGTGCTCCTAAGAAAAGTGTAGCTCTCTGGATTATATAGAAAAACATGGGAATCAGTTAATTGTGTTGGGGAGATCCTCGTGAGAGGACCATGGCTGTGAAGGCACATGCACGAGGAGACAACCAGCAGCAATTTCTGAAGCAGTCACACAAGTCTGGAAAGAGACATGACTATGTTAACAATTCAAATAGTTACATTTTTTAATGCTCCCACATATTCCAAAGTGCATCTTGTGAAGACTTGCAAAGCCCTAAGAATTATACATTTTCTATTATTATCCCTAACCCATGGCAATGTGTCATTGTCATTTTTGGCCCTTGTATTTCCCTTGTATTTGGGTTTCTTGTTTTTTCATTTTATAGTAATGCAAGAAGGGAGATGCGTCAATTATACAATTTATGATATAGGAATCATTTAATTGGAATTCAGATGATTTTTTTTTTTTAAATTTTGGAGAAAACAGGTATGGGCTTCTTATTTCTTTACTTCCTGTTGTTGGCTGGCTGGAGGTTTGTGAGACAGAAAGAATTTAAAGAAACACATTAAAATAAAATGTGTTTCTTTAAATTCTTTCTGTCTCACAAACCTCCACATTCAGTAGATTTTGTTATCCTTATAAGTGAACATGTTATAGATTATTTAAATCCCTGTGCAAACCTCAGAGTTCACACAAGAACACTGATCCCCTGCAATTTACCAGAGGTAGAATTTTAGTCCCATTTCTAAAGACAGTCAGCATCTGTTCCCTATCAGAGTGAGAAAGTGGAAAAGTTGAAAAGGTGATTTAATAAAAAAATGGAGATAAATGTTTTAATAACAATTTTAAAACAGCAATATATGACATACAAAGTAGAAGTACTTTATTTTAAATGAAAGGATAATTTTTAAAATATGCATTGTAAATTGTACTACCTGTAGAGTCTTCAGTCTTTTTATGAAATTTTATGAAATTATCTCTTAGTACTAAACTGAAATGTAATGTTAACTACAGGCATAATGGTAAACCACAAGTTTCTACGCTTCCTTCTTTCTCTATACATAACAATTGTAGAATGGAAACTCAAAGCATGTTTGTGTAGCATAGCATATAAATAATTTCCTAATGCTTGTAGTGGCACTCTGAAATTATTGTGATCATTTAGTTTTTACTGTAATAAAGTCAGCACCATAGAGAGTCAAAACCGCCTTTCGTGTATTATCTTGCACTTCTCCGATCATGTTGTTTCACCATCTCTAACATAGGCATGTATGCTCATAGGATGAATTAGGCTTTCCATATTTCCTTATGATTTGCAACACAGAATGCTTATATAGAAGTCATAAACAAAAACACTGTCGTGCTCTTAAAACAGGTACAAGTGATTTATTATCAGCCGTTCCATTTAATCAACTATAACACAGACAAGTGCTTCAGTTTGTAATTGCTAAACTCTTTTTTTTAAAAGCACCTTTAAATTAATCAAATGCATTTAAGCTGATTCATCTCTTTGATTTGCAGCTTTTTTAAAATATCTAATATGTATGTCTATGTACAGGTGTGCTGTTTCTGATGTGCAAAATTTACATTCTAAGATTGTTATGTTACAATATTTTGCTATGCAATATTTTAAATTAAATCCTTTTTCCTTTTTAGATTGGGGCTTATGATCAGCAAATATGGGAAAAATCTGTAGAACAAAGAGAAATCAAGGTAAAGTTTCAGACATAGCAGTGCATTCTTTAATAAATTCCTTCCACATTGGTTAAGATGAAGCAGAATTTTTATGTTTATAAAAATATGTTCAGTGTTAAGTATTAGCAATGATTCTTAACTGTTCCCTAATAAACTTATGTACAACCAGTAATATGTTTGATATTGTCAGTTTAGTTTTAGACATTTACATACCGATTTCCCTGTGCTGGTGAATGACTGCAATAAAGTTTTTCAAGTTTCAATAATACGTTTAGCACTCTTTTTCAAATATGTGTTTTATGGAAATATTTTTGGATGAGTAAGCTTTTAGCAGCTTCCTTTCCATTATCAACTTACTGAGGAAGTCCTGTAAAATTCTGAAGAGTCATATGATCCAAAAAAAATTATTTGAAAAAACTGTTTAGTATCATGCATTTTTAAAAGAACCTGCTTGAAAGATCCTCTTCCACATTTTATTATGAAGTTGTAGGATTTATTATGCTAATTCTTACAGATTTGCAGCATTTTAGTAGTTTTAAATCAGCTTTTCTCCCTCTACTGAAATGAAAGATTGGCACAAGAATTGGGAATGGGAGGGTAAGTTATAGGATTTGGAAATGTATATAGGTTTTGTGTCCACCTGGGTATAAACTATTTGACAGTTTGCTGCTATGGGTGCATGTGTAGAAGCTTTAAGAAGTCCCAGCGTTGACAAAAATACTGCCGTGTTTAGTTAACTTTGCATTAAACTACTTGTCATTTAGTCGTGCACTCTCCGGTATACTTTGATGTGACTTTTGTCAGTTTTAGTTTATTGTCTTCTGGTTATGTTTATAGTTCCAGTTCATTTTTCATCCTGTTATTCTTTTGAACAGTTTATTAAATTGGTAAGTATATGATGGCAGAAATTTGTATTAAGCAAATAGCTTTTATAGATTAACTGTCTCTGCATCTTAGCATCACTAACAAAATCTGCTTAGTATCTGATAAGCTAGAAACTATACCAAAAGTAGTTGAATGCTTTAGGATCATTTCCTTTTGAAAAAATTAGGCTGCAATCCTGTACAATTTACTTCTGAATAAGTCTTGTTAAACCTCTGAGTAAACCTACATAGGATTATACCATTAGGTTTACTTTCAGTGTTTATACAGTTTTCCAAAGACACATGAATGTACACAGGCTGGGATGTTAATAAACATAGTCTTCTATGGAGAAAATTTAAAACGTTTGGATCTGATCCCAGATTTTGACCTTAAATCGTAGTTCTGACATAATATATGTTTGGTACAGTGGAACTTAGACACACCCTTTTATTTTATGTCTTGAGTCATGATGGCTCAAAATAGTCATTTTGTTCTGGAAAAAAATAGCTAAGCTTAAAAAATGGAATTACTAGGAACAAGTAGTAATAAATTAATACATTGTCTTTTCTGCAGATTGAGCTAAGCAAGGATATATGTTTCTTCCCTTATTAGGTTAAAGAGTTTTCCAGAGAGTTGCCAGTATCTGGCAATGCCTATTTGGTTGGAAGCCTCCATATTTCAAGTAAACTTGACATACAAAGAGCCTCTGAACTGACCTTTCCAGAGCCCACTAGAAAAGATACCTCAGTTCTGAAGCTTTGCTTTTCTTCTATATGATCAGCAAATTCAGAATGGCCCTATAGTAATTTTACTGTATATTTCTTTTCACTGGCTGTCTTCTGATGAACAGGTATAGAGGCAACTAAGCAATCTAGAATGTTTCTGACAAAGTTTTTTCATTCTCAAATACAGTGGTTATGTTCTTTGTTCTGCCCATCCTGAACGCAAGCCCAGTGCTATTGAATTTTTTGAAATGTAATTAAACAGTAACTGTCGTTGAGTTCAGATAACAGACTTTTCCCCACTGTCTTGCTTATCTTACCAATATTCTGTTCATCTTAATTTGGCCCAAGCCCATCAGTTTTTGGTCTCCTCTTATTTTTCAATAGCATTAGCTCCATTGTAACAGCCATCTCCAGAGCTAGAACCTTTTGCTGTTTCCTTGGCCTGTTTATTGCCTTGCTAGTCCAAAGAGCCCTGTTTGCTGTCAGAACATTTTATCCCTTAGTAAAAAGACTCCTTGAGTCCAGAGCCTGGCTTGATAAAAGCAGTATGATTGCACTTGTCTGTCCTCTATATTTGTTGCTAGGTAGTTCTCATGGTTGAGCAGGAAATTCAGAGCTTGCGACAGACTGAGAAAATTATGACTATAGTCACTTTTTATTCTGTTTTTAAACTAAATTATTGTGGCTCAGGGTCAGTATTAATGGCTTAGCCTGTATTAAATCTCCCCATGATAATCACCATAGCTGTGGTTTGGAGGCATTTAAAGGCTTGAGACATTTTCCTCGTTTTTCTTTGGATTCAAAAGCTAAGAGCATGGAGGGCAACATATGATTTGCCGCTTTTCCTTCTGATCAGTTTTATCAGTTCCTTTGGTCTACATAGCAATGCAGCCGTGCCATTTCAAAAGTGTCTCTTTTCATACTTTCTTTGAAAAAATGCTGGCTTCTTTACCCATTACTTTTTTTTACCTTTGTTAGAAATAGTATGCTGCTCTTCACACTAGGGTCTAAGCTTACTATCTAATCCAGCTTTCTTTTTTAGAACATGGATGTTTGCTTCTTTTTTCTGCTTTTGTGTGTGGATGTGAAATAAACTTGTGTAGACTTTTCAACTTTAGAGATGGCCTGAGATAAGTCTACTTCACTGCTTGGGAATGTGAGTGCTTGTTGAGTTATTTCTCCATTGTTTACGAGTTTGTGAGCTAATCATTTCACACGCAGAAATTAATAATGGTGTTCCCAAATCAGTGAAATAACAGCCTATAGCCCAGCTCTGTGAAAAGATCCCTTGTTTCAGCATTTGGTTAACATCAAATTGTACCTTCTCATTTTAGGGAAATGCAACATTTAGAGTCCAACTTTGGAAATTCAGCGCCACATATAGTGTCCACAGGGTATGGTGAAAAAAGTCAAGATGGCAGCCCACCACAGTGTGATTGAAGCTCCAGCTGTTTCTTTATGTGCATTGCACATGTGGCACATATAAAATGGGTGGAGCTTTGTTCACACCATTGTGGCTGCCATCGTTTTTGACCACACCCTGTGAACACCCCTGGCCACTAAATTAAAAAAAAAAATGGTTTAGCATAGGTACTACTGATTCGAGTAGGATGAGAAGACTTCTAAAAGCCTCATGGCTTGTTTCAGAATAGACTGAAACAAGGATCCTTCTTTACAGACACTAAGACACTTTTGTAACTTGCTGCCTGCCTCTTAATGATTGCTCCTGGGCAAGCAGTCCCTTGCCAATTGCATCTGCCTGTTCTTCTTTGGTTGCTGTTGCTTACCTGCATGTAGCGTTTTCAGGATAAGGGTAGCATCCATCAAAATCCAGTGTTAACCCACTGGGAAAACAGGCCTATTAGGTCTAGCAGCGAGAGAGAAATGAAGGAATGAGACTAGACTACCTGATGTGTGTACAGTCATTCTTTCTTAAGGCAGGAGAAGAGCATACATTAATTAGGATGGAAGTGGGGGTGGGATGGGGGAGGTGAGGAAATGAAGCCGAGAGTGGGAGAATTCTTTTAATGACAGTGTTTTATGGCTCACAATTTTTTCCCCATTGCAATGGATATCTTTTTCACTTTTCTCTTTGCTAATTAGCTGATATCATTTAGATCTCTCTTACGTAAGTTTTAACTCAAAAATTGAGATGTTCTTTACTGCATCAGAACAAACATGCATCTGGAGTCTGCGTTTAAGTAATCAGGAATGCATTACCCCAAACGTGGAAGCTGCAGCATTTTGTGGCAACCAATCCATAAGTTAAATTATTCAGTATATTGTTTGTCTTGAATATTCTATTACTGTAGACTGTTTAAGCTTTAGTTAACACAAGGAGGGGGATGAATTTCTCCCTTCAGAAGTATATATAGCTTACCATGATTCCTTTGGTAATCATTTCCAAAATAAAGAAGAGAGAGCCTTAAATAAAACAGAGCCATGAGATGAAAATGTCAAGCAATTTTGTTTAACCTCTCTTTTGCAGTAACATTTTGACATGAGAAAATCAGTACAATTCTACATCGATGATAGTGAGTCTTAGATAATAATACCATATAATAGCCTGCTCAGAGGCTTCGATCTCCTAGTATATTTTTCTTTTGGAGTTTTTCTAAGATGCTTTCTGTGATTTGAACAATCTGTGTTTTTATTTCGCCTTTCATTGATTATTTTGAATATAACTTTGAAAAGGATTTTTTTACGTTCTCTTTTCCTTTTATTATTTGTTTTTAAAAATAAGGTTTGATTCCGTTTATCATTTGCGAGATGGGCCGATTTCTTCACAAAAGAGGATGGGTTGATTTTCCTAGCCATCATGTATCAATGATGTAGGGCCAGGAGATGGCACTATTGAATTAATTTTCTCATTTCGCTTTTTTTATTTCCCCCCTTTTACTTGCTGCTGAAGCATCCAGGCTGAGGGATACCATTTCTCTCACATTGCTGGGGTTGGGGCGATGCCAAACAAAGTCACCTCTGGCGCCAGTGAGAGTTACCAAGGCAGAAGGGGGACCTAGGGTGTGAAGACCCAGAAGGCTTGAGAGGACGTGGAGATTTCTAACCTTCAGTCCTATAGATTCAGCTAACTGCTATGTGGCCATACCGTGTCTTTAGTATGCATATGTTGCAGCTTCCCTGATCTGTGTCTTTGCCAGCTGTTGGCATCGCTGTGTACAGTTTACTGTTGCTGCAGTATTCACTCTTATATCAGTATAGTGTTGCTTATAAAATCCCTTTTTGGCTTGTAGTTAATTTTGCCTTGACTTCTGCTGGAATATGAATGGCTGGGAATTAAGAGAACTGTAGCCAAAACACATTTGGAAGGTAACCAGTTGAAGAAGGCTGCTTTAAATGAGATGGACTTATACTGTATTTTGCATCTTTATTGATTCTGCTATTTAACAGTGAATATAGTAAATTGTATGAACTTGTTTTTTGTAATCAGTAAGATAGGCCTAAACTGGAAACTCGTTATAGAAAGAAAATGCAGGTGTCCTAAAGGAATGTAACCTTTCTGACTATATGTTTTCATCTTCCTTTTAACAATAAGTGAAAGTGTGTATTATGTTAGTAACAAAGTCCTTGAACCCATAACTACCAGAGTAATGAGAATACGTTAGTAGAAGACATATTTGTGAGCTAAGAGGAAGGAATAATGAAGTGTGCCATTTGCCATGCAATAAGGCAAGGAACTTGTATTAGCTAGAACTGTGGGCAATAGATGAAAACTTAGATTAGTAATTAATGCAACAAGATTTTAAAGCCCTGTAACGTGTCTTGTAATGGTATGAAGTAAGACATGGGAAGATTGACATTGAAGCTAAGATGCACTAAACAATTGATAATTATTTGTTGTCAGGAGATAGCAGGAAAGAACAAGAAGTCAATTATCTAGGTAGATGGGAAAAAACATGTTGTTTTCAAATGATGAGGTGAACTGTCATCATGATCTTTGTGAATTCAGTGGTTAAGCTAAAAGGACTCCGAATTACAATGACTCCTGGGCAGGGGAATTCACAGTGCAAAAGATGAAGTGCTTGATGATAAAATAATGACCTTGATAGAGAATATGCAAAATATTAGACAGTGTTGAGATGGAGAATTTCTTAGTTGAAATGAATATGCTAATATCCTTGAGATCTCACAATCATGGATTATAGAAATACTAACATACAACAAGGGAAACAGTTGGATTTTTCTATGGTATAATGTTTTATAGCATCTTTCCTAGAATGAAGAAAACCCTGTTTCAATGAGGAGATGGAGGAGATAGAACTGATCACAAAATAGGTGTCAAAACAAAACCAGGATTAAAATGCCCATTAAAAAGGCACTTTAAAAGGCATGGGCAAAAAGAAATCAAAAGACTCTCTCTCTTTTGATTTCTGAAGTAGACATCTTCAGTTTGAGTATGCTTAAATTTCCTAGGTGTCCTAATTCCACAAATATATCTCAGGAGATAAGGAAGCTTAAGAGACAGGGAATCCAGTAGGAAATAGAAATGGGGCTGAAAAGTGAAAGAGAGGTAAAGGCGCAAATAAGATAAAAGTAACTTTTAAAAATATATTTAAGTGCCTGGTTCCAGACTATTTCAGATGCAAGTATTTACATTTCAGGAATAGGAACAGATAGACATGTTGTCCTTGCATCCAAAGTCTGTTAAATGAGAGATCTGTTAAATTGAGCTTCCACTGTAAATATTAATCAGACCAATACACTAATGTATTCTCTATCTGAATAAATTGAATTCTCAGAAAACAAATGTATTTCCTATGCTTATCTGCAAAACATCCCATCTATAAAAAAATAATTAATCTACCAGTCATAAAATGAATTAATTAGTTGGTGTCACTGAGAGAGAGAAAGATCAACAGCGCTCTGCATCCTATCTCCAGCAGTCTATTTATTGATTGCAGTTTCCTATCATGGAACACCGGATTTTGGCATACAGAACTGGTAGGGTTCATATGGGAAGTCTAATTTTTCTTCCTAGGTAGCAATATCCATTTCCTCAACATTTCCAATCAGAGGTAAGGAGCTGACTCCAGAGAGAATGAAACAGCCTAAATTAGGTTTTTGTTTTTGATAACTTGCTGCTATTAAAGCCATTAAGGCAAAGAGGAGGACATAATCAGTCAACCAGAAGACAGACGGAACAAGTGAGGGCAGAAAAGGAACCAAAAGGCAGAGATGCTCAGAGTCTAAATTTTCACCAGAAGAAAAACACTGGCAGTTTTAGTTATGTGATGATTGATTGTTCAGATTATTGTTCTAAAAAAAAAAATCAATAAGCAGGATTTTACTGCTCTCCCTGTCTGACATCAAATAATATATCCCAATACTAGTGGCAATTATGACTACTGAGATGAATATGCTAATTGGAATCATATTTCACAGGAAAAAAAATGATTTTTTTCAATTGAATTGATTTTTTTTTTTTTTTGGAAGAATAGCCCTCTGAAAAAAGGCTCATGGTAATGGTTTCTTCTCAGGACTGCAAATCTCATTGGTGGTGAGAATGAGGTTCAGGAATAATATCAGGGGAGTTTGAGGATCCACCTGGGACTCTTTAAAGGCACTTACGCAGTTTTGGATTTGATAGCAGGAAAATAAATTTCCTATACATACCTTCTTTCATCACTGCAGTACATAGCTGAACTAAAAGACAGTAAGCTATACAGATATTATAACATTCTAAAGTGATTATATTTTCTCTTAATTAGGATGTTAACTTTCTTAACTGTGGCTATATATTTAAGCTTTAAACTTTTTTCCCAACAAGAACAACAAAACATTTGCTGGCTCTAAGGTGTTCCACAAACAGAGTGACCCCTTCTGTTCTTGACAAGCAGGCACTGGATCCAAATCATGTTAAACTGGAGCCTTTCTTCAAATAGATTTAAGGTAGCCCAATTATGACCCATATTCAACTTTCTATGTAGATCATGTTATGTTCTATGCATCTTACAGGGTTTGAGAAACAAGCCAAAGAAAACTGGGCACGTAAAGCCTGATCTCATAGATGTGGATCTTGTAAGAGGTAGGACTTGGTCTCCTCAATAGGAGTCATAATTGTATTCAATTTATATTAGCTTAATTTTAACATTTTTAATGTACTCTTGTTTTAGAGGGCAGATTTTTTTCATGGGTGAAAGTACCTGTTGGGGAGGGGAGGGGAGTGATTTTCAGTAACAGGGAGCTGCCACCTGAATATTTAGCAGTACAGTATAGCTCTGTTCCTGTTTTTGCATCACTTACTAGAAGGATAGAAAACAATTTGTAATAGAGAACCTCCCTGAACAAATTCTTGTGTAGTTCTTGCAAACAAACAAGTATATTTCAAACATTGCACACTAAAAATAAAAAGTTGTGTGTTAACTGGATTGAAATAATAGCCTGCTTTTGCTGTGCTTCCAATTCTGTAGCAATCCCTCCCTCCCAACTATTATTCCTCTTGAGGATAGTGGAATTCAGTTTGCTGGAAATAACAGAGTTATTGCACATGAAAATAGTCCACAAAGTATAGAAAGGGAAAGAAGTCCCCGGGGCTAAAGAGTGAAATATCTTCCTCCATGAGCAGATCAACCCTGGCATTCTGTGTACATAGGTGGAAATGTTGGATTTGGTATCAGGGACAAATAGACATCTTATATGTTTCTGTGTAACTGAGTAATTTATTTTTCTTCTGTTCAGGCTCTGCCTTTGCTAAAGCAAAACCAGAAAGTCCCTGGACCTCCCTGACTCGAAAGGGAATTGTTAGAGTTGTTTTCTTTCCTTTCTTCTTCAACTGGTGGTTACAAGTGACATCGAAGGTTATTTTTTTCTGGCTCCTTTTCCTTTATCTTCTTCAAGGTACATGTGGATGATATCTTCTGCCTAACAAATCCCTTTATTTAAAAAGTAACAGAGCTACATTGCAATTCTATTCTTTGAAATAACACTTGTCTCAATAGTTGAATAACAGTAAGAATAATATATTTAAAATATAATATAATGTAATATAATATAATTTTTAAAATGCTAACAATATGAAAAAGAAGCTTGACGGTGTAATAATAATAATAACCCCCAGTGAGGCACTACCTTGATGTGGGGCTTGTGGGGTTTGCATGCTCCATAGAGGATGAGAGCTATGCCAGAGGTTCAACCATACTGGACAGGTCTCATCAGAGGAGCCAAACGAAGAGTGTCTCTCCCATAAACAATATGGTGAGATGTAATTTGCAGAAACCCATACTGGATCGCTCATTGCCTGGGTCAACAAGGACCATGCTAGGTGTTCTAGTTCCTGGACATCTGGTGACAA